CTGTTCCGCATCCCTGTTTACGTGCCTGAGTCTTAGGGGCAGGTCGAAACAATGAGGGCCTGAAAATGGCCCTCCGTTTCAGGCTGAAAACTCTGGGTCTGAAAAGACCCAGAAATAGGCTGAAACGGGGTAGGGCCTGCAGGCCCTCGTTTTTCAGCATCCAGGCTGAAACGAACGGGGCCTGTAAGCCCTAAGTTTTAGGCTTTTAGGCTGAATGTCCGGGACGGGCCCTGCAGTGCCCGTGTGGCTACGCAGTATGCCACAATATGCTTGGAGTGTCAATATAAGTGGTTCATTGTAGGGGGTGCCAGTGTTGTTGCAGGCGATCGTGAGATGCAGGCGATCGTGAGCAGAATAAGTAGTATGCGCAACCAGAAGGTATGCGAATAATAGCATAAATAACTCCATGACGGGAAAGAGTATCCATTCCCGGATGATCGGGGCTCTCATCAATGCCTCATAATTGAGGCTCAAATTGTTCCACACAGGCCTCAGCTGCCATATAGGGGGCTCACTCTTTAAACCAGTGCCCCGCGTCATACGGACTTGTCTTCCAGTTATGATGTGCAACACAGTCAACTTTGCAATCAGACTTGTTCTCATCCACACTTTTCATGCATGTAAACAGTAGCGCAACAAACTGGCGACATGCGCCCGCTCAAAACTCAGAGATATAGCATCCAGATACGAGTTCACTTTCAACTGGCTATGGCGACTCAGCGCCCAAACAACTCACTGTTTACACACCGGATCACCCTCGATATCCCACACGCGTCACTCTGAACACTCACACATACACACACACACTTCACACTAACTACAGCTATGGCGGCTATGGCTGCCTCTACCCTATCACTATGCTACGCTCCGTCTCTCTCTCCCACTTCAGCTCCGGGCTCTCTGCAGACCTCCTTGCACAAGTCGCTGTGGCAGCGCTTCCGCATGGCTCACGCAAGAATGAATGAAATCCTGGGCGCTGCCTCTTGATTTATACTTCGGAAACTCGTTGGTCTGACCTTTGTCATCGGCATATGGTGCTCACAGTCCCTCGTGGTACTTGCTGGACCAGACTGGGACCGCTGACTGGCTGTGGACTCACTGCTAACCTACCGTAGTCGTACTGCAATTGCACTGCAGTTTAGTCCACCACTTGCCTCACCACTTGACCATTTGCCCACTTGCCGACCTTCTAGGACTACAGCTAGCCTTCTGGAACTTGCTAAGACTTCTATTCTATAGACCTACAGATCGAACCCCTGCTGCCTATGGACCTACGACAGACCTACCAACTGTCTACGAATACACAGGTCACAGGTTCAACTCTCGGGGTCTACACAGATACTGTACATGGGTAGGTTGAGGTCTAGGGATCGAGCCTGGGATCTGCATCTGTTACTGCAAAACGTGAAAACCGTTTCACTCCCGCCGTCCTAAATTCGAGGTCCTCCGAGAATATTTCAGTCCAAGGCAGGACCTTTACCTTTCTTATCACGCTCATTGGCTCTGACTATGTCGGGAGCTGTCTCTAGAAGTTCTGTTCTTGTGAACCAGCGGTCGTCTTCCGGTTCCTGATAAGCAAACCGGACCTTATATTGTTTCTCGGGATGACCTCTACCTCCTGTTCTGAACACATCCTCATCTACAATGCCGTCACTGTCATAACTTCCATCCATATCCGGGGGGATCATGGATCTTCTTGAAGGGAACTGTTGACTGGTGACACACAGCAACAACTTTGAAGCGTGGAACACCGGGTAGGTGTGGAGGTGTGCTGGAATCTCAATACTGTAGGACAGCCCATCCTCTCCGCCCTTGATTCTAGAACCGGCCACGGTCCTCTATACACAGGCAGTAACTTCTGCGAGATGTTTTCCTCAGGTGCAAATTCTTTAGCCTTGACCCAGACTAAGTCGCCTACCTGAAACTGCGACGGGCGACGATTCTTATTAGCCTGTTCTATCATTCGATGTTGGGCCTTCCTGAGGTTTTCTACAACTGTCGCTAGTTCTTTCTCGTGCTGTATCGCAAACTCCCTGGTTCCGGGCGGTAGCCTGTGTATCTGATCCCTGTTCAGTCCTTCGAATGGTCTGCGTGGCCTAAAGGACTTGTGCAGCTCATTGGGAGTGCGACAGGTGGACAAATGCACGCTATTGTTATATGCTCTAGCTACCTTGGGCAACATCTCATCCCAGTTGATCTGATCAGGTCAAATGTACATGCGCACAACTTGCTGTAGGATCTTGTTCATTTGCTCTGTCTGACCGTTAGTCTCTGGATGGCGGCCGAACGACATCAATAACTTAGATCCGTAGACTCTCATGAGTTCTTGCCAGTTCTGGCTGGTGAAAGGACTATCTCTATCGCTAACTATTGACAATGGGATTCCATTCTCACTAACCCAGATGTCAAAAAACTTTTGTATCACTAAATCTGTACGTGCCTCTGCAGGCAAAAGAACAAAAACTGCATACTTGCTAAAAGGGTCAACTATGACCATGACTTGGCTTTTACCATGTCTGCTCTTGACTTGGGTGTCCATGAAGTCTATGGACACTGAGTCTCCCGGCTGATCAGGAATAGGCAAGGGTCTGAGAAGACCTAAGGGGGCGCGAGTAGTAGTCTTATTCCTCTGGCACACTTTGCAACTGCGAACATACTCTATGCAGTCATTCTTCATCCCTGGCCAAGTGTATGCACGCATCAGATTGGCTAGTGTCTTTTGCCAACTGAAATGCCCCTCAGTATCGTGGCATTCCCCTAGGATCAAACTACGGATCTCTTTGCTGTTGGGAACGCACAGGCGGTCAAATACGTTAGTCTTCTCAAATAGCAACCCGTCTGTAGTGCGGTAATCTGGCTCAGTCTCTGGGGCCTCTCTAACTCTCTTTAGGAGGTCACTATAGATAGGATCC